ATTGCGATTAAATATTTGAATCGACTGACAGCCCTAATTAATATAATATGACTCTGACCTGCTCTTGGTCTGTGACCCTGTGACCCTGTGACCCTGTGTCCCTGTGACCCTGTGACCCTGTGTCCCTCAGAGTTTGACAGACATGAGATCTTGCTGTACGAGGAGGTGGCGAAGGTCCCGCCCTTCAAGAGGAAGACGCTGGTTCTGATTGGAGCGCAGGGCGTTGGGAGGAGGAGGCTGAAGAACAAGATGCTGCTGAGGGACCCCCTGCTGTTCGGCACCACCATCCCATGTAGGACCATGTACTGTTGTGTGTGTGTGTGTGTGTGTGTGTGTGTGTGTGTGTGTGTGTGTGTGTGTGTGTGTGTGTGTGTGTGTGTGTGTGGTGTGTGTGTGTGTGTGTGTGTGTGTGTGTGTGTGGTGTGTGTGTGTGTGTGTGTGTGTGTGTGTGTGTGTGTGTGTGTGATATAAGAAAAAAAGAATACAAATATTCAGATATGAATAAGAATGTAAAAAAAGAATGTGCACATCGTACTCTGACATATTTAAATATTTGAAATGTGTGTGTGTTGTGTTTCTGATCTTCAGACACCTCCAGGAAGCCGAAGAAGGAGGACAAGGAGAGCCGGATGTTCGGGTTCACCAGCCGGAGCAAGATGGAGGTCGACATAAAGAGCGGGCGCTTCCTGGAGCACGGAGAGTACGACGGGAACCTGTACGGCATCAAGATGGAGTCCATTCACGAGGTGGTGGAGGCAGGGAGGGTCTGTGTGCTGGATGCTAACCCACAGGTGAGACATGAGTCTGCATTATGAGTCCTAAACATGAGTCTGTGTGCTGGATGCTAACCCACAGGTGAGACATGAGTCTGCATCATGAGTCCTAAACATGAGTCTGCATTATGAGTCCTAAACATGAGTCTGTGTGCTGGATGCTAACCCACAGGTGAGACATGAGTCTGCATTATGAGTCCTAAACATGAGTCTGCATTATGAGTCCTAAACATGAGTCTGCATTATGAGTCCTAAACATGAGTCTGCATTATGAGTCCTAAACATGAGTCTGCATTATGAGTCCTAAACATGAGTCTGTGTGCTGGATGCTAACCCACAGGTGAGACATGAGTCTGCATCATGAGTCCTAAACATGAGTCTGCATTATGAGTCCTAAACATGAGTCTGCATTATGAGTCCTAAACATGAGTCTGTGTGCTGGATGCTAACCCACAGGTGAGACATGAGTCTGCATCATGAGTCCTAAACATTAGTCTGCATTATGAGTCCTAAACATGAGTCTGCATTATGAGTCCTAAACATGAGTCTGCATTATGAGTCCTAAACATGAGTCTGTGTGCTGGATGCTAACCCACAGGTGAGACATGAGTCTGCATTATGAGTCCTAAACATGAGTCTGTGTGCTGGATGCTAACCCACAGGTGAGACATGAGTCTGCATCATGAGTCCTAAACATTAGTCTGCATTATGAGTCCTAAACATGAGTCTGCATTATGAGTCCTAAACATGAGTCTGCATTATGAGTCCTAAACATGAGTCTGTGTGCTGGATGCTAACCCACAGGTGAGACATGAGTCTGCATTATGAGTCCTAAACATGAGTCTGCATTATGAGTCCTAAACATGAGTCTGCATTATGAGTCCTAAACATGAGTCTGTGTGCTGGATGCTAACCCACAGGTGAGACATGAGTCTGCATCATGAGTCCTAAACATGAGTCTGCATTATGAGTCCTAAACATGAGTCTGCATTATGAGTCCTAAACATGAGTCTGTGTGCTGGATGCTAACCCACAGGTGAGACATGAGTCTGCATCATGAGTCCTAAACATGAGTCTGCATTATGAGTCCTAAACATGAGTCTGTGTGCTGGATGCTAACCCACAGGTGAGACATGAGTCTGCATTATGAGTCCTAAACATGAGTCTGCATTATGAGTCCTAAACATGAGTCTGCATTATGAGTCCTAAACATGAGTCTGCATTATGAGTCCTAAACATGAGTCTGCATTATGAGTCCTAAACATGAGTCTGTGTGCTGGATGCTAACCCACAGGTGAGACATGAGTCTGCATCATGAGTCCTAAACATGAGTCTGCATTATGAGTCCTAAACATGAGTCTGCATTATGAGTCCTAAACATGAGTCTGTGTGCTGGATGCTAACCCACAGGTGAGACATGAGTCTGCATTATGAGTCCTAAACATGAGTCTGCATTATGAGTCCTAAACATGAGTCTGCATTATGAGTCCTAAACATGAGTCTGCATCATGAGTCCTAAACATGAGTCTGTGTGCTGGATGCTAACCCACAGGTGAGACATGAGTCTGCATTATGAGTCCTAAACATGAGTCTGCATTATGAGTCCTATACATGAGTCTGTGTGCTCGATGCTAACCCACAGGTGAGACATGAGTCTGCATTATGAGTCCTAAACATGAGTTTGCATTATGAGTCCTAAACGTGAGTCTGCATTATGAGTCCTAAACGTGAGTCTGCATTCTGAGTCCTAAACGTGAGTCTGCATTATGAGTCCTAAACATGAGTCTGTGTGCTCGATGCTAACCCACAGGTGAGACATGAGTCTGCATTATGAGTCCTAAACATGAGTTTGCATTATGAGTCCTAAACGTGAGTCTGCATTATGAGTCCTAAACGTGAGTCTGCATTATGAGTCCTAAACGTGAGTCTGCATTATGAGTCCTAAACATGAGTCTGTGTGCTCGATGCTAACCCACAGGTGAGACATGAGTCTGCATTATGAGTCCTAAACATGAGTTTGCATTATGAGTCCTAAACGTGAGTCTGCATTATGAGTCCTAAACGTGAGTCTGCATTATGAGTCCTAAACGTGAGTCTGCATTATGAGTCCTAAACATGAGTCTGTGTGCTCGATGCTAACCCACAGGTGAGACATGAGTCTGCATTATGAGTCCTAAACATGAGTTTGCATTATGAGTCCTAAACGTGAGTCTGCATTATGAGTCCTAAACGTGAGTCTGCATTATGAGTCCTAAACATGAGTCTGTGTGCTCGATGCTAACCCACAGGTGAGACATGAGTCTGCATTATGAGTCCTAAACGTGAGTCTGCATCATGAGTCCTAAACATGAGTCTGCATTATGAGTCCTAAACATGAGTCTGCATTATGAGTCCTAAACATGAGTCTGCATCATGAGTCCTAAACATGAGTCTGCATTATGAGTCCTAAACATGAGTCTGCATTATGAGTCCTAAACATGAGTCTGCATCATGAGTCTGTGTGCTGGATGCTAACCCACAGGTGAGACATGAGTCTGCATTATGAGTCCTAAACATGAGTCTGCATTATGAGTCCTAAACATGAGTCTGCATTATGAGTCCTAAACATGAGTCTGTGTGCTGGATGCTAACCCACAGGTGAGACATGAGTCTGCATTATGAGTCCTAAACGTGAGTCTGCATTATGAGTTCTAAACATGAGTCTGTGTGCTCGATGCTAACCCACAGGTGAGACATGAGTCTGCATTATGAGTCCTAAACGTGAGTCTGCATTATGAGTCCTAAACATGAGTCTGTGTGCTGGATGCTAACCCACAGATGAGACATGAGTCTGCATTATGAGTCCTAAACATGAGTCTGCATTATGAGTCCTAAACATGAGTCTGTGTGCTCGATGCTAACCCACAGGTGAGACATGAGTCAGCATTACAAGTCTTAAAACTCAGCATTTTTAACTAAGGAATATGTTTGTGTGTGTGTGTGTGGGTGTGTGGGTGTGTGTGTGTGTGTGCGTGTGATTGTGTGTGTGTGTGTGTGTGTGTGTGTGTGTGTGTGTGTGTCAGTCCCTCAAAGTGCTCCGGACCTCAGACTTCCTCCCCTACGTGGTGTTCCTCCAGGCTCCAGACTTCGAGGTGCTGAAGGCGATGAACCAATCAGCTGTGGAGGCTGAGGTGGTGACGAAGACTCTGACGGTGAGGAACACGCCGTGGAGATCATGGAAACATGACTTTAAAGATTCAAGTCTCTCTCACCATGTGCTCAGCAGCTTCAGTGGAGATATGGAGATGACAAGAGAATGTTTTGAGATGTGCAAGTAAATACAAATAAAATAGAAATAGTGCAAGGAGAGTCTGTAATTAGAATATTGGTGTAAGATGCAGACAGATGAATGTTCTGGATGTTCTTCACAGAGTTCAGGTGTTCACAGTCTGATGGCCTGAGGGAGGAACCTGTCTCTGAGGCTGCTGGTTTGAGTCCTGATGCTGCGACAGAACAGTGTGTTGGCTTAGTGTTGCAGGGATGAGTCTGTAGGACATCCAGAGATCTGGTGTCTGTTTCAAAGTGACTGGATATCATTCTAATGTTATCTTTAATTATATCAATCTTGATGCATCTGTGCTGTCCTGTTTTTCAGTCTCTCCCGGTTGCTGTCACGGGGATGAAGCAAGGTGCATCTGATCTCATCTTTTCAAATAAGAAATTAATTAAATGAACATATAAACATATTTGGCTCATATATACACATTAAATATATTTACATGTATGTGTGCCGCTAAGAAGTTACTGTGAAAACAGTGAACATAAAACACTACGTCATGTTTCCTGTTGCTGTTAAAACGACTGCATTTCAATCAAGTCAACGTCAACTTTAAGGATAATAAAGGTCCATCTTATCTTATGATGGTGTGGGATGAGTGCCCCGGACACACCAAGCCGATTTTGGCCGTCGATGGATGTCAGGCCGACGATGAGCGTCCTGTCGCCCGACTCAGATTGGTGTGTCCCGCACCGTCGTGTCTTTTCGGCCGTGCCGACACCTTTTTGGCCGAAAACCTACCGATTCAACATGTTGATTCAACATGTTGAATCGGTAGGCAATCGGCAAAAGGCCGTCGGCTAAAGAAATCACTCTGATTGGCTGTTCAGCTAGCGAATCAGTGCATGAGAAGCGAAACGGAAGTGAGGGACCCAAACAAACGATTAAGAAGGCAAATCTTAGACTTCATGTAACTCCAGCTCTCGACACAGGTTGGGGAAAGCCCCGTGAGCTTCTGGCTGTAGAGTGAACATGGAACACACGCTATTTGTTGTTTGTTTATATCACGCAGTCTGTTCTTCTTCTCTCGGTTATCACACTGTCTGTCTTCCGGTTGTTGCCTCTTTTGAATGACGAATACACACTACCGCCGCCTGCTGGTAAGGAGAGTTATCGCCTCTCACGCATGTGCAGTTCGTACGTGCTTCTTGGCCGTCGGCTGGAGTCTTTGCGGTGTGTTCCAGTGCGACACATGGCCAAGACGCAGAGACGAGAGGCGACACAACAGTCGGGTCCGTCTGTGTCAGTTCTTTGGTGTCAGCTTGGTGTGTCCCTACCTTAACACTAAAACCACCAGACTCAGAGACAGTTTCATCCTACAGGCCATCAGACTGTTAAACACCTGAACTCTGTAGAACATCCATGAACATTCATCTGTTTGCATCTTATATCAATATTCCAATTACTTGCATATAGACTATTCTGCACTATTGTATCTGTGTTATTGTGTTGCTCTGCTGGAGGAGCCTGGGACCTCAGATCTTTAACTACACTATAGCTATGCACAAATGACACCCAGAGATGTGTGTGTGTTTCAGGACGAGGAGCTGCAAAGGACATGTGATGAGAGCTCGAAGCTCCAGGCGGCCTTCGAGCACTACTTCGACCTGAGCATCGTGAACGATAACCTGGACGAGACGTACCGCAGCGTGAAGGCGGCGCTGCAGACCGTCTCCAAGAACCCCCAGTGGGTCCCCGTCACATGGCTGTTCTGAACACTGCTGTGTGTGTGTGTGTGTGTGTGTGTGTGTGTGTGTGTGTGTGTGTGTGTGTGTGTGTGTGTGTGTGTGTGTGTGTGGTGTGTGTGTGTGTGTGTGTGTGTGTGTGTGTGTGTGTGGTGTGTGTGTGTGTGTGTATGTGTATGTGTGTGTGTGTGTGTGTGTGTGCGTGTGCGTGCTTTGGATTTCTAAACCATATTTTTTGTATGTTTTTACATTTTTGGACCCTCATTGTTTACATTTCATATCAGAGTTATGCTACGAGTGCTGGTAACAAATTATTTTTAATATTAAATGAACAAATATGAGTGATGACAATACACTGAACACACACCTCACAGCTTCTTGTTTAGTGCCTGGCAGCATGTACGGAGGCCGACAGGTGCAAACACGCTGCCGCTTCAGAAAGGATGCAGATATAGAAACCCAAATGTTCCACAGCAACAACACGTGCAGCGTTTAGAGAACATTCAGCAACTTGAGGAGACATGGCAGCGTTTACTAAGAGCTGCAAGAAGCTCATTTTAACAATGTGATCACTCCTTCTGATGTTAAGCTGTAAGCTAGCTAGCTAACGTAGCTAACCCTGATGTGTGTCCCCTGGTTCTCGTTGTGTTTTTATATCTGCATCGTGTCTCCTTGAGAACGAGGTTTGGGCGTTTGCACCTGTCGGCCACCGAAAGCATGAAATGAAAAAGGTTGTTAATGTCTATTATTGTCAAAATTGCAAACAGAGCCTTTGTTGTCTTTTCTTTATTTAACATAGTGACACACACACACACACACACACACACACTGTAAAACACACACACACACAGTGTTGTTCAGAAGCTCTATTTTACTACAGCTTGGTTTTTCATGAGAAATATTTCTGTTCAACAGCATCTTTCTAATTTGCACTTTTTTATTTTGTAGTATTTATATTTCTAAATAAAACGTTTTCTTTGTATTTCTGAACTCAGTTTGTAGATAGCATGTAGAGACACGATGTTTAGTGTGAGACGCCTGGTGTTTACAGTGAGAGCTCTTTAACTGTCCATGTGCCAAACGCAGATCTCCTATTCTGGCAGCTACTGAATATTTAGACGCAATAGAGAGGTGCAGGGTGTCCTACTCCTGTGTCGGTCACATGACACGTCACCACCGCTAAGCTAAAGGTGGCTAATGTTGGGCTATAAAGGAACTACAGCACGGTCACATGACACGTCACCACCGCTAAGCTAAAGGTGGCTAATGTTGGGCTATAAAGGAACTACAGCACGGTCACATGACTTCACTTCACCACCGCTAAGCTAAAGGAGGCTAATGTTGGGCTATAAAGGAACTACAGCACGGTCACATGACTTCACGTCACCACCGCTAAGCTAAAGGCGGCTAATGTTGGGCTATAAAGGAACTACAGCACGGTCACATGACTTCACTTCACCACCGCTAAGCTAAAGGAGGCTAATGTTGGGCTATAGAGGAACTACAGCACGGTCACATGACTTCACGTCACCACCGCTAAGCTAAAGGAGGCTAATGTTGGGCTATAAAGGAACTACAGCACGGTCACATGACTTCACGTCACCACCGCTAAGCTAAAGGAGGCTAATGTTGGGCGTGATGATGTTTAGGGACAGGAAGTGATGAAATGCTGACTCATGCCAGGTTTAGGACTCATTCCTGCACCTCTCTATTCTCTGTTCAGCGATACAGAAATGTCTTTGTTAACTTCCAGCTCTGAGAACGTTTTGCGGCTCTTTGTAAAATGAAGTTTATATTTAAGGTCTAGTTTCTAACAGCAGATGTTTGTGTGGCAGCTATATTTAAATATTCTCTCGAGGACATTCCCAAACCTGACAGTGTACCTTTTCTATGAGCTCTCAACAATGCAATAAAACATGTTCAGACTCTAAAGTCACAATAACTCTGTTTACATTATGAAGTTTACTGTGTATCTACATGTGTACTTTTTAAGGGTTGTACTCCAAAAAGCTTCATCACAAGAACTTTACATCTGACTTTAATAACAATTTACCTTAAAGGGAAACTCCTGTGGTTTCATATTTTACATTCATAAAGTCAAGGAACCCACAAAAAACACAGAATGTAAACAAATATGTCAAATTTGAAGCATATCCGGACTTTTATAAAGGTTGTAGTTCCAAGACACCTGAATACTACATTTCCCATAATGCAACATGTGAGTGCTGATGATGGTCATGCTTGTGCCTGAATAAAGGATTGATTCTGTCTCTGAGTTTCTGCGTCTCTTCTCATCGTGCGTACAATATTCACAAAGCATTGTTTAATATAAAGTCCAATTTAAACAGGCGTGTCTGAAACTGTATGGGATTAGTTTGGTGTCATAAAGACAAAGCAACACTTTCTCAGAATCAAGCAAAACAGAGTTTAAGAGAAAAGAAAACTGAGTCAAGCTAAATACATTTAATAAAAAAAATGAAACTATAAGTTGCAAACAAATCATTTGTGTACTCATGTAAACTATAAATCTTTTTTCTTTGTTTTAACACATCTCTTTGTTTGCAGTTCTCTTCTTTCTCAACGATCAGACTTTTGCTCTCGCTGCAGCTCCCTCATTTTCTGTTTGAGATTCTGACACAAGCGTCCCAGGTGGGCGGGACTTTCAGGGGTGCGTCCCCATTGGCTACTCAGTTTTTGAGTGACAGCCCAGTCCTCCAGCGATTGTACAGTGCAGGCAGCTGTGGTGCGGTAGCTGAGCGTGGATAGAAGACCCCCAGAAGAACCAGCATTTCAATTATTATAATACAAGTGAACATATATGTAAGTATTGATCATTTGTGTTGTTTGTGCCGTACTATACGTCTGTTTCTTTATTGTGTTAAGTGAGAAGTAAAGCTGTGCTATGAAAGTTAGCTTTTGCCCAAATGGGGAAACTATTGAACAGGTGTTCAGGTGTTCAGGTAGCAGTGTGTTCAGGTGTTCAGGTGTTCAGGCAGCAGTGTGTTCAGGTGTTCAGGTAGCAGTGGGTTCAGGTGTTCAGTGTGTTCAGGTGTTCAGGTGTTCAGGTGTTCAGGTGTTCAGGTAGCAGTGTGTTCAGGTAGCAGTGTGTTCAGGTGTTCAGGTAGCAGTGTGTTCGGGTGTTCAGGCAGCAGTGGGTTCAGGTGTTCAGGTAGCAGTGTGTTCAGGTGTTCAGGTAGCAGTGTGTTCGGGTGTTCAGGTAGCAGTGTGTTCAGGTGTTCAGGTAGCAGTGTGTTCAGGTGTTCAGGTAGCAGTGTGTTCAGGTGTTCAGGTAGCAGTGTGTTCAGGTGTTCAGGTAGCAGTGGGTTCAGGTGTTCAGTGTGTTCAGGTGTTCAGGTAGCAGTGTGTTCAGGTGTTCAGGTGTTCAGGTAGCAGTGTGTTCGGGTGTTCAGGCAGCAGTGTGTTCAGGTGTTCAGGTAGCAGTGTGTTCAGGTGTTCAGGTAGCAGTGTGTTCAGGTGTTCAGGTGTTCAGGCAGCAGTGTGTTCAGGTAGCAGTGTGTTCAGGTGTTCAGGTGTTCAGGCAGCAGTGTGTTCAGGTGTTCAGGTATTCAGGTGTTCAGGCAGCAGTGTGTTCAGGTGTTCAGGTAGCAGTGGGTTCAGGTGTTCAGGTGTTCAGGTGTTCAGGCAGCAGTGTGTTCAGGTAGCAGTGTGTTCAGGTGTTCAGGCAGCAGTGTGTTCAGGTGTTCAGGTGTGCAGGTGTTCAGGCAGCAGTGTGTTCAGGTAGCAGTGTGTTCAGGTGTTCAGGTAGCAGTGTGTTCAGGTGTTCAGGTGTTCAGGTGTTAGGGTGTTCAGGTAGCAGTGTGTTCAGGTGTTCAGGTGTTCAGGTAGCCGTGTGTTCAGGTGTTCAGGTAGCAGTGTGTTCAGGTGTTCAGGTGTTCAGCTGTTCAGGTGTTCAGGTGTTCAGGTAGCAGTGTGTTCAGGTGTTCAGGTGTTCAGGTAGCAGTGTGTTCAGGTGTTCAGGTAGCAGTGTGTTCAGGTGTTCAGGTAGCAGTGTGTTCAGGTGTTCAGGTGTTCAGGTAGCAGTGTGTTCAGGTGTTCAGGTGTTCAGCTGTTCAGGTGTTCAGGTGTTCAGGTGTTCAGGTAGCAGTGTGTTCAGGTGTTCAGGTGTTCAGGCAGCAGTGTGTTCAGGTGTTCAGGTATTCAGGTGTTCAGGCAGCAGTGTGTTCAGGTGTTCAGGTATTCAGGTGGTCAGGCAGCAGTGTGTTCAGGTGTTCAGGTAGCAGTGTGTTCAGGTGTTCAGGTGTTCAGCTGTTCAGGTAGCAGTGTGTTCAGGTGTTCAGGTGTTCAGCTGTTCAGGTAGCAGTGTGTTCAGGTGTTCAGGTGTTCAGCTGTTCAGGTAGCAGTGTGTTCAGGTGTTCAGGTAGCAGTGTGTTCAGGTGTTCAGGTAGCAGTGTGTTCAGGTGTTCAGGTAGCAGTGTGTTCAGGTGTTCAGGTAGCAGTGTGTTCAGGTGTTCAGGTAGCAGGTGTTCAGGTGTTCAGGTGTTCAGGTGTTCAGGTGTTCAGGTGTTCAGGTGTTCAGGTGTTCAGGTGTTCAGGTGTTCAGGTGTTCATGTGTTCAGGTGTGTAAAGTTGTAATAAAGTGTAAACAGCACCAGTCTAATGCAAAGAGTCCGATGTGTTCATGAAACTCTCCAGGAGGCACCGACACTAACGTGGCCGAGTGGACTCCAGAGTTTGCTGCATGAGTTGCACTGTATGATCTGTGGTGTAGTGGGCTGTCACTCAAAAACTGAGTAGCCAATGGGGACGCACCCCTGAAAGTCCCGCCCACCTGGGACGTTTGTGTCAGAATCTCAAACAGAAAATGAGGGAGCTGCAGCGAGAGCAAAAGTCTGATCGTTGAGAAAGAAGAGAACTGCAAACAAAGAGATGTGTTACAACAAAGAAGAAAGACTTATAGTTTACATGAGTACACAAATGATTTGTTTGCAATAAAATGTATTTAGCTTGACTCAGTTTTCTTTTCTCTTAAACTCTTAGTTTTGCTTGACTCTGAGAAAGTGTTGCTTTGTCTTTAAGACACCAAACTAATCCCATAGTCATGTAGCTTCTGACATGGAGAGCAGTGTTTCTCAAAGTGTGGTCCGTGGACCCCTAGTGGTCTGTGAGTATATTGGTAACATTCCACATTTGAAATAAGCAAATCCAAAATGTTTCTGAAATAGTTTCAAAATGCCTAGTATAGGAGCAACAGAGATAGTTTTTGCTTGATTCTGAGAAAGTGTTGCTTTATCTTTCTGAAACAAAACTAATCCCATAAAACTGTGGGACATCGATTTAAAATCACACGACACTTTAAATTAAATAATCATCCAAAGAAGCTCCGGTGTTGAGACAAAGTGATTTGGGGTCATTACATTTAAGAGTGTACATGGAAACAACTGATATCGCAATGTGTGTGTGTGTGTGTGTGTGTGTGTGTGTGTGTGTGTGTGTGTGTGTGTGTGTGTGTGTGTGTGTGTGTGTGTGTGTGTGTGTGTGTGTGTGTGTGTGTGTGTGTGTGTGTGTGTGTGTGTGAGAGTAACTCCTGCATTGCGCCACACACTGATTTGTTTTTGTGTGAACTCCTCACTGTGTGTTTAACCCCTAACTTAACAAATAGACTTCCGGATCTTTCACGAACACACACACACACACACACACACACACACACACACACACACACACACACACACACACACACACACACACACACACACACACACTCTCTCTCTCTCTCTGGGTAGGGGAGGTGTCTGCAGGGACAGATTGAGCCTCAGAGCCGAGCACACGGGGAACAGGATGGAGGTTCTGAAGGTTCTGCTGGTTCTGGTTCCTCTGCTGCAGCTCTCAGGTCAGTGTTAACTCATCATGAGGGCCACGTACAGAAAGATATACGAAGGTCTGTGCCGCTCACTAGAGGTCAATCGCCTCGTAAGTTCAGTTAGCTAAATCAGATGTAGGTGAACGATGCTTGTGAGCGTCATTTCATTTTCATTTAATGGTTTATTTAGCAGGGACAATGCCCAGTGACGAACACTTAAAGGGCCCATGTCATGGCCATTTCCACTGATCATAATTACATTGTTGAGGTATACTAAAATAGATTTATACTGTGCAATTTTCCAAACTCACATTGGTTTCGCATACAGCATCTCTGTCAAGCATGTGTATTCAGCAGTATTCACTTTCTCCACTAAACGACTCGTTGGAGCTCTTGCCCCCCCCTCCCTGTGAGCCTAGTGTGCTCCGATTGGTCAGCTCGGCCACTCGTTCTGATTAGTCAACCACCAGAGAGGCTGCGCCCATGTCAGTGCTTTTCCCGGCTGCTCTCAGCGTAACATCAGTCTTATCATGGCGTCGGTACAGCGGTATATTTTATATACATATATATTTTTAACTGTTGTTATAGAAGAGTGTGACGGCCCCAGGGCCTTTGTCTTACGATGGGGTGGAGCTGAAGAGGCTAATCAGCACGATCACGGACACCTCCGGACACTACGGCCCCAGTCTCTCTCCAAAGCGGCTGCAGGAAGACTAACTCTGCGATCCTCTCAACCACCTATCTCTGCATTTACCACAATAAATGTGCCGTGGTTTTGTAAACTCGTGTATGTCTCTTTGTCTTTGTGGCCTACGAGCTACTCTCATAACAAAGAGTAAGTTATTTTTACCCGTTATAAACTACTACTGTTTGATGAGAAATCAAATCATGGTTTGCTATATATGAATTCAGGGAAGAAAGGATAGGCCTACTAAGTATTTCCATTAAACTTTATTTTTAGAAATGTACAAAATGAACATAAATATACATATATACACGGTATATCATCCATTCCTCCTCCTCTTGCCTGCGCACAGCCGGTGCGGTGCGGTGCCTTTTAGCACCCTCAGTAGTAGTAGAATCCCTTCCCCGTCATGGATTGTCCGCCAGGATCTGGCTGGACGAAATCAAATGCAAATCACAAAATATTAGAGAAACTTAGTTGTTTTAGATTCGTTAGTAGTAGTTGTGTAATGAACAGCTTGCCTGCTAATATGCTAACCTAGCTTTGTTTACCTTGGTAGCTAACACGATATGAACGTTAGCTTGGAGGAAAGGCAACTATAATGCAGTGTAATAAAAACTACTATGAACAAAAGCTAGTGGTTCATATTAGGCTAGCAATAACGTGTTTATAATTGCAATCGTATACGGGTATTCTGCTACCATACAATGTAACTTGCATGAATACATTGTTTTGCGCTAGCATACAGCTAGCCTCGTTAGCTACATGCAGTATATGTACGGTCACAATGTACGGTAAACCGGAGTATACTGTATGAGTATTCCGTGTGTGTGACTGCAGACATTCTCCTGCTATGAGATACATGTATGCAAGGCCATCTGCTGACATTGTAGTTGATATATTTAAACGCTAGCAACGTAGCATCACAAAAATGTTTTTCTGACCAAAACTAGCTCAAGCTCCGTGTGTTAGATCGCTACGCCAGCTATAATGTAATTACGTTTCGCGACTGACCGGCAAATCACCCGCAGTATACTGTCAATAGGTATTTTGTGTGTGAATGCAGACATTCTCCTGCTATGAGATACATGTATGCAAGGCCATCTGCTGATATTAGAGTTGATATATGGAAACTCTAGCAACTTAGTTAGCACAGTTAGCACTGTGTCAATGGCTTAGCAGTCCAACACAGTTTACACATTTAAACAGTCTTGTTTGATAAATACACAAATAACAATGCAAACTTACAGGTTGTATACCCAGATCTTCCCCTGCTCCAAACGGTCCAAACAAGCTGTGCATATCCGGCCTCAAACTGGGCAATGTTTTGGAAGCTTTCGTCTGTGAAATGCCGGTTCTTCGAACCTCTGGAGGAGGAACACGCCGCTGCTGGTGTGGCCATAGCTCTTCGGGATTGGTCCATTTCGTTCCGGGTACCGCATGACATCAGGCGGTACCCGGAACTAAATGGAAGACTCAAATGGGCAGTGACGTATCTCCAACGAGGCGTTTTGGGGAGGTATTTTCTGTGTTAGAGTTTTACTCGCTACAGGGTGTACTTTGAGGGTTTGACTCTGCACACCGTTTACATGCATAAAAACCTTCATAACACACAAGGGGACGGGTAATAACCGGAAAAGCATGACATGGGAGCTTTAAAACATTCAAATGTATCGAGCGTAACAGTGCCAGATTTAGCTTTGAGCTACTTTCCATCCGCAGTCCCTCACATGAAACATTTAAGAAGATTACATTTTACAAACATGGCAAAAACAAAACACATGATATGCAAAAAGTGCAAGAGATCAAGAGCAGCATACACAAGTATTTATGACATGGTAATACCATAGAGCAGCTACGACATGTGAAGTGCGAGAGGAGATACCCCTGTGTTGAAGAAGAGGAGATACCCCTGAGTTGAAGAAGAGAAGATGCCCCTGAGTTGAAATGTATTTAGCGGTGATCGCTCGTCTGTTTGTTTCTTAACCATTCTTTGAGTTGACCTTTCAAACTATTGAGAGTGAAACAATCCCGTATCTCAGCTGGGAGGCTGTTCCACAAAGAGCTGTCTTTAATGGAGAGGACATGTTGACGGAAAGTGGTCCGTCTGCAGTGGACCTCACAGTCTCCTCTGGTTTCTGACCTAGTGCGTCCAGTGTGTTTTCTGTGGATGAATTCCCCTAAGGGAGGGGGGGGGGGGGCAGTCCACGTAAACATTTATAAATAAAACACATACTTTTAAAAGACTTTAAATTGTCAAAACTCAAGAAATTGTGTAAGGATGGTACAGTGGTGGTATGAATAAGGCTTTCTGTGAGCAGCTCATCCATTAGAACTGATCCTCAGAGAGATTATCATGAGAGAGAGAACTGATCCTCAGAGAGATTATCATGAGAGAGAGAGAACTGATCCTCAGAGAGATTATCATGAGAGAGAGAACTGATCCTCAGAGAGATTATCATGAGAGAGAGAGAACTGATCCTCAGAGAGATTATCATGAGAGAGAGAGAACTGATCCTCAGAGAGATTATCATGAGAGAGAGAACTGATCCTCAGAGAGATTATCATGAGAGAGAGAGAGAACTGATCCTCAGAGAGATTATCATGAGAGAGAGAGAGAACTGATCCTCAGAGAGATTATCATGAGAGAGAGAGAGAACTGATCCTCAGAGAGATTATCATGAGAGAGAGAGAGAACTGATCCTCAGAGAGATTATCATGAGAGAGAGACTGATCCTCAGAGATACTGATCCTTCACAGAGATTATCATGAGAGAGAGAGAACTGATCCTCACAGAGATTATCATGAGAGAGAACTGATCTCAGAGAGATTATCATGAGAGAGAGAGAGAACTGATCCTCAGAGAGATTATCATGAGAGAGAGAGAACTGATCCTCAGAGAGATTATCATGAGAGAGAGAGAACTGATCCTCAGAGAGATTATCATGAGAGAGAGAGAACTGATCCTCACAGAGATTATCATGAGAGAGAGAGAACTGATCCTCAGAGAGATTATCATGAGAGAGAGAGAACTGATCCTCACAGAGATTATCATGAGAGAGAGAGAACTGATCCTCACAGAGATTATCATGAGAGAGAGAGAACTGATCCTCAGAGAGATTATCATGAGAGAGAGAGAACTGATCCTCACAGAGATTATCATGAGAGAGAGAGAACTGATCCTCACAGAGATTATCATGAGAGAGAGAGAACTGATCCTCAGAGAGATTATCATGAGAGAGAGAGAACTGATCCTCAGAGAGATTATCATGAGAGAGAGAGAACTGATCCTCACAGAGATTATCATGAGAGAGAGAGAACTGATCCTCACAGAGATTATCATGAGAGAGAGAGAACTGATCCTCAGAGAGATTATCATGAGAGAGAGAACTGATCCTCAGAGAGATTATCATGAGAGAGAGAGAACTGATCCTCAGAGAGATTATCATGAGAGAGAGAGAACTGATCCTCAGAGAGATTATCATGAGAGAGAGAGAACTGATCCTCAGAGAGATTATCAGGAGAGAGAGAGAACTGATCCTCAGAGAGATTATCATGAGAGAGAGAACTGATCCTCAGAGAGATTATCATGAGAGAGAGAGAGAACTGATCCTCAGAGAGATTATCATGAGAGAGAGAACTGATCCTCAGAGAGATTATCATGAGAGAGAGAACTGATCCTCAGAGAGATTATCATGAGAGAGAGAACTGATCCTCAGAGAGATTATCATGAGAGAGAGAGAACTGATCCTCAGAGAGATTATCATGAGAGAGAGAACTGATCCTCAGAGAGATTATCATGAGAGAGAGAGAACTGATCCTCAGAGAGATTATCATGAGAGAGAGAGAACTGATCCTCAGAGAGATTATCAGGAGAGAGAGAGAACTGATCCTCAGAGAGATTATCATGAGAGAGAGAGAACTGATCCTCAGAGAGATTATCATGAGAGAGAGAGAACTGATCCTCAGAGAGATTATCATGAGAGAGAGAACTGATCCTCAGAGAGATTATCAGGAGAGAGAGAACTGATCCTCTTTATGGGGTCATTGAGCTTTTTCTTCTCTAAACTTTAACGACTGAAAGTATTTGAAAAGTGGCTCATTAATGAATACTACTGTGTACTATGTGTTTACATTTATAGTTAATAAGTACAATATGAGACAAGCACAAGTTTCATCTGTGGGCTGTAGTTTGGTCCCCCCTGATCTATAGTATATACTAGTATATACTAGTATATATAAGTATACATTAGTATATATTAGTATACATTAGTATACATTAGTATATATTAGTATACATTGGTATATATTGGTATATATTGGTATATATTGGTATATATTAGTATATATTGGTATATATTAGTATATATTGGTATATATTAGTATATATTAGTATATATTAATATATATTAGTATATATTGGTATATATTAGTATATATTAGTATATATTAGTATATATTGGTATATATTAGTATATATTAATATATACTAATATATATTAGTATATATTAATATATACTAATATATATTAGTATATATTGGTATATATTAGTATATATTGGTATATATTAGTATATATTAGTATATATTGGTATATATTGGTATATATTAGTATATATTGGTATATATTGGTATATATTGGTATATATTGGTATATATTGGTATATATTAATATATATTGGTATATATTAATATATATTGGTATATATTAGTATATATTGGTATATATTAATATATATTGGTATATATTAGTATATATTGGTATATATTAATATATATTGGTATATATTGGTATATATTGGTATATATTAGTATATATTAGTATATATTGGTATATTTTAGTATATATTAGTATACATTGGTATATATTGGTATATATTGGTATATATTGGTATATATTAGTATATATTGGTATATATTAATATATATTGGTATATATTAGTATATATTGGTATATATTAGTATATATTAATATATATTGGTATATATTAGTATATATTAATATATATTGGTATATATTAATATATATTGGTATATATTAGTATATTTTAGTATATATTAATATATATTAGTATATATTAATATATATTAGTATATGTATATTAGTCCCATCTCAAATTAGACTTTTTTCTCAGAATGTGCCTTTTTCTCAGAATGTGCCTTTTTCTTAGAATGTGCCTTTTTCTCAGAATGTGCCTTTTTCTCAGAATGTGCCTTTTTCTCAGAATGTGCCTTTTTCTTAGAATGTGCCTTTTTCTCAGAATGTGCCTTTTTTCAAGAATGTGCCTTTTCTCAGAATGTGCCTTTTCTCAGAATGGCCTTTTCTAGAATGTGCCTTTTTCTCAGAATGTGCCTTTTTCTCAGAATGTGCCTTTTTCTCAGAATGTGCCTTTTTCTCAGAATGTGCCTTTTCTAGAATGTGCCTTTTCTAAAATGTGCCTTTTTTCTTAGAATGTGCCTTTTTTCTTAGAATGTGCCTTTTTCTTAAAATGTGCCTTTTTCTCAGAATGTGCCTTTTTCTCAGAATGTGCCTTTTTCTCAGAATGTGCCTTTTCTCAGAATGTGCCTTTTTCTTAGAATGTGCCTTTTTCTTAGAATGTGCCTTTTTCTCAGAATGTGCCTTTTTCTCAGAATGTGCCTTTTTCTCAGAATGTGCCTTTTTCTTAGAATGTGCCTTTTTCTCAGAATGTGCCTTTTTCTCAGAATGTGCCTTTTTCTCAGAATGTTATTCTTTTTTTTAAATGTCACTTCCTTTTTTTTTATTTTGACTTTTTTTCCAGCTTTTCTTTTGAAATCATTTTGTGACATTCTCACTGAAGAGACTTGCAATGATTCACCCCAGACTTCTGCTTTCAGACGTAGTTCATTATGAAGTTATCACCCTATCAGATAATAATCCAATGCAGAGGCAATTATGTAATATAATACATTATTTTATATATATATATATTTATATGTAAGTTACAGCCGGACCTTTGAGTGCAGCCTTGATGCTGATGTGGCCCGCGGTTACATTGAGTTTGACCCCCCCTGATGAAAATAAGGAGCCCCTCCCCACGCCCCTCTGAGAGACATCTGGTTACAAAAAATCTGATCAGCTCATTTTCAGACAGGTTTTTATAGAAATGGATCAAAAAGAGAGAGAATCTTTGTTCCTGAAACTTTCAGAGTCTCTTTCCACAGAGGGGACACATGTTGATGAAGAAGAGACATGTGTCCCCTCTGTGGAAAGAGACCACAGAGGGGACACATGTTGATGAAGAAGAGACATGTGTCCCCTCTGTGGAAAGAGACCACAGAGGGGACACATGTTGATGAAGAAGAGACATGTGTCCCCTCTGTGGAAAGAGACCACAGAGGGGACACATGTTGAAGTAGAAGAGACATGTGTCCCCTCTGTGGAAAGAGACCACAGAGGGGACACATGTTGAAGTAGAAGAGACATGTGTCCCCTCTGTGCTGGAGCGTTAGCAACTATCTTTTGGAACACTCTTGAAATAATACCAAGAATAAAAACAGTCGTGTTCGGAGGAAAATGAAACCAA